ACATGCATTTTCATCACCTCCATTTTTGTCAATTATTATTATTTTGGCTGTAGAAGTGTCCGAATCAATATAGATTTTTTTATTTTAAAGTAAATTCAGATTGAACATAGTAAAAAAAATGCAAATTAGTTTCCGTCTAAAAAAAACATTACTTACTGTATAGTGAAAACCACCCTTGAATGATGGGATAGTAGACAAAAACCTTTAGGAATCCAAACTATAACATATAATAAGTACCCTGTATCAAGATTGATGCAAAACAAGTGAACAAATTTGACCTTTTTAAATAGGTTTAGAAAAAGTAGGTCCAGGCGGACTCACCTCTGGGTTCATTTGTCGTATGAGTGCGGTAAAAATGGTTATTATCGTCTTTAGCCGAGTTTCTTCCCGTTAAGTGGGTATGACACATTAATAGGTTGTTAAATGTTAACAAGCCCTGGAACGGTGTTTGTTACAAGATGCTGCGTCAGCCCGCGTGTCCGGGGGCAATCGGGCTAGCAACAAATGTGCTAAATTGGCATCACTGCACGTGTGTGTGCTTGCGCTTTCGACTTTTTACTCGTAAAAAATACTTTTACTCGTGAAAAGTACATTATCCGTACCGGATACTAATTTCAGCCGAGTTTTAGGCTCAAACCTCCTACAAACACTCGCTATTTCACTCGGGCAGCTCTTAAATTCCAACCCACGGCTAGCTAGCTAGCTAGCTCGCTAACATGCTAACGTTTTTCCTAAAACTAACTAACGTTAAATATGAAATATGCATCAAAAATTGTGGCGACAGACAGTCTGAGACAGAGACTAACGTTAGAGGATTAATTTGCATTGTCTGCTGATGAACTAGATTACATTTGAATGTACTTACTTGATAACTCCAGTCCGGGCTCTGAGCGAGAGAGAAAGATGGCACCCAACTCGGATTTCAAATTCATTTCAGTTTTGGGACACTGCGTGAGCGTGTGACGTCATATTGCGGGCGCATGCGTGTTACATACAATGCCGAGGCTGACGCATGTTATCAATTTAATGTAACGGATTATTCCGAGTTTACAAATATTTTTCAAGTTGAAGATTTTGTAACTCGTCTTAATGTGTTGTAATGGGCAGTGGGTTCACTCAGCATGATAACATTTGCCCATCTGACTAAAAACCAATATCCTTTTTAACAGTGCATCATCCAAGGGTAGTTTTCACCAGTGGTGTAGTGGGGATTTTTTTACTGGGGGGACGCTATTTTAATTAGGTCATCCCAAACAATGCCACACAAGTGCGCACGCGCGCAGTGCACTCACAAAACGGGCAGACAGGTCCACAGAAACTACCGGTATGCTTAGTCCTACTTTAGTTACTGTACTGCAAAAAGCAGACGGCGATGCGCTCAACACACACACAGACTCAAAACCATGGACACACTGGTACATAAATTACATAAACTATTTATCGGCCTAAATTGCATAAACTACAGTATTGCAACTAAGCAGACAGCGCTGCTTCTCTCTCTCTCTATCTCTACTTTCAAAATCTATTTAAAACTCATAACAACCAAACAAAATTCCCAAAGTTGTCCTGAAATTAACTTATTAAACAAACGAAACGAAAAATATAGCCTACTAATGCTGCGTTCACACCGGACGCAATGCGATGTTTGGGGGCGGCGCGATTACATGTAAAGTCAATGCAGAGACGCGGACAGACGCGAATTCGCTCCGACGGCGCGCATGAAGCGGTGGACGCGGCGCGGATCACGCGATTGAGGCGATTGAACGGTACCGCGTTAAACGCGAGAGTTCAATTTTTTCAACTCGAGCGTCAAATTCACGTGACGCGTTCTCGCGGAAGCCAATCAGCGGTGAGGATCTCAGCCTGCCGTTACTGACGTTCAACCACACAACATCAGCCGTTAGCTGTTAGCAGTTAGCACACAGAGGTCACAGCTCCTCATATCTGTTCAGAAACTGGACAAAAGTTAAACAAGTACAAACCAGACTGTCTGTGTCATGGCGAATACAGTCGCTGGTTTATTTATGTCTGTAGGCCGTTGTTATGAGTGTGGAATGAGCATATACAACGTTAGCTTAGCCTGGTCGACCCGATCTTCATTCAGAAAACAAGCATTTTAAAAGGTTTTTCGCCTGCCGTCTTGTCTGCAGACTTGTCAAGCACCAAATACAACAAAATAATTCAGATCCAGTCGTCATGACTCCACTCCGGAGGGATTCTCCGATCATTTCTTACAGTTTCTCATCAAGGGGGTGTCTCCTGTCCCCGGGACAAACACACTGTCTAATGTGTATTTTTTTTGTCATTAACTTTTTTCGGACCACTTATTTATTTATTTTGGTGACGATCCGACCTCCATGCTGCTACTCTGGTTCAAACTGCATCCACCAAACAATATGATTTATCTCGACCTCCCCAAAATAACCAAAATCTGACACGGTGTGAGATGTCTTTTTTAGCTGTTCGGTCGTAATTTCCTGCGATCTTCTTCATGCAGTCAGTCAAAATGAATGAATGAATGGGCGTTTCTTTGACTATTTATAGGCAAATATGGGCATTACGTGAAGCCTGCAAAAGCTGCGCCGCATTTCGATTAGATTGTGATTTATCAAGGGAAACAGGCGTATGAAGTGCCGGTACGCACTTCCCTCGCCGGTACGCAATGTTTTGTGAATCGGAAAATGTCGGAACATTTCTGTACCTATTTTTTTGCTTTGTACTACGTAAGCAACATTCTCACGTCAATCCTACGCAAGGTGTTATAAATGAGGCCCCAGGCGCCTCATTTATAAAGGGATATATGATCAAAAAATGGCGTACGCCAGTTTCTACGCAATGTTTGCAATTTATAAAATACTAACTTGACGGGAAAATGTGCTGTCCTCCACGCAAACTCTAACCCATGCGTACGCACTAAGCACAACAACGGAAGAGACGAGAAACTGCGACACCGTTGGCAGAAGGAAGAATGGAGAGAAATAGTGGAAATAATTCCATAAATAAAATGTTACCTCTCATTTATCATATGAAGAATTCATTTTCAAACATTGATTAAAGCCAATCTTAAAATGATTAAACAAACGCCTGTTTGAGACTCCTCAGTGCACACAAAAACATAACTTGGAGAAATAAATAAATACGGATATGTTATTTAAAACCACCTCGAATATGTTGTGTTAATGTTATGAAATGTTTTCTCATAAATGATGCGGTAAGCAGGAGGACAGAATTACGTCTAAACTGACGCCGTTTTGCATTTCTATAGGTTGTAGATACGAGCATGGTTTTATATACTATCACGTTTAATCGTGTTTTATGCCGTTTGCCAAGACTTGATAAGTCGCTCGTAAAACACAGGAGGTATGGAAACTAAGAACACCATATGTGGTCAATTGTACAGCTAATATAACACAACACATTAGTTGTATTTCCTTTAACTGGTGGATTATGGATATATAGTTGCTGATCGACAGCTGGAACACAACCCACCAAATACAACAAAATAATTCAGATCCAGTCGTCATGACTACACTCCGGAGGGATTCCCCGATCATTTCTTACAGTTTCTCATCAAGGGGGGGTCTCCTGTCCCCGGGACAAACACACTGAGGAAGGTTGTATTTTTTTGTCATTAACTTTTTTCGGACCACTTATTTATTTATTTTGGTGACGATCCGACCTCCATGCTGCTACTCTGGTTCAAACTGCATCCACCAAACAATATGATTTATCTCGACCTCCCCAAAATAACCAAAATCTGACACGGTGTGAGATGTCTTTTTTAGCTGTTCGGTCGTAATTTCCTGCGATCTTCTTCATGCAGTCAGTCAAAATGAATGAATGAATGGGCGTTTCTTTGACTATTTATAGGCAAATATGGGCGTTACGAGTCGATTGTGATTTATAAAGGGAAACGTAGGAAGTGCTGTGCGCACTTCCCTCGCCGGTACGCAATGTTTTGTGAATCGGAAAATGTCGGAACATTTCTGTACCTATTTTTTTGCTTTGTACTACGTAAGCAACCTTCCCACGTCAATCCTACGCAAGGCGTTATAAATGAGGCCCCTGGACATCTGGCCACTGGGATGAAATGCTTTATAAATGATAAAATAAATTGTCAAATACAGCTAGTTTTTATTGCGATCACATTTTGCCGGTTTATTCATAATGTTTTTTTATAGTCTTCCTTATTATGATCTTCATAATGATTTGGCATTTTGCTATGAGTCAAATGAAATATATACATTTAAATATATATACACACACACACACACACACGCACACACACACACACACACACACACACACACACACACACACACACACACACACACACACACACACACACACACACATACACACATTGGTTTAATGAAGTCACTGAAATGTCGTAACACAAAATATAGCCCCACCCTGGCCCCCTCACTCCCTTGTTGCCTTCTTATTTAGAAGTGGTGCCAAACTGCTGTAATTCTTAGAAGTGTCCAAAAGAAAACAACAATACATTAAAATGTCTTTATGAAGTTGTAGTTTGCTGAGTTTTCCATTTTAAGATGTTCAACATAATACAGAATACTTTCTGATAGAACAAATGATATGTTTGTTCTTCTCATTCACAGAAAGTACAAGAATATTCATTATAGATTAAAATATGTTCAGTGTCTTTAATGCAGGATATATTATTAGATAACATTTGTTTCCAACAAGCAACATGTCTAGGTAATACATGTCTCCATCAAGTGAAACCTTTGTTAACGTCACTAACATCTCATGACAATACAATGTGCTCGGTAAACAGACCCCTCCTCTACGCATTTCTTGTAAATCAGCTGCTTTAACTGAACATGGAAAAAGAAAGGAAACATGATGAACACTGATTGGTTTAGATTCTCTGTCACTCACTGCAGGAAAAGGTTTAAATAGCCACTTCCTTGAGTTTCTAAGGGGCGGAACTCTTTAAAGTCTGAACCCACACAAAGAAGTTCAACTTTCTTGCTGAGTATCAAAGTTGCAGGTGCATCATACGGTAAGGGATATAATCAAAATCTTTTTTTGAAGTTGCACCTGTTTCATATTCAGTCAATATGTGTGACTTTTGCTCACTCCTTGCATGTCTTTCGTGATTTTCCTTTTTTTGTATGGAGGTAGCCTATAAAGAGTTTACAATGGCTATTCTGGGATTTTAGGACAGTTCTTAAGCTTTCATTGTCGACTTCACAGTTTATTAGAAAACACGTGCTTTTTTTTGCAAAGTTTGGATATTGTAATTGTATTATTATCAAACTCATTGTTTCTGTGAGTTTGATTATAAATGCTCAGTTCAGCAATTTACAATAGTGAAATTACTTTCCTTTTTTTCCTTTTAGATTAAAGGGAAGCTATGGCTGGTCCACTTCCTAATGAACAATTACAAACATTTAAAGAAGTTCTGCAAAATCAAGGGCCTGCGGCAGCCGCTGCGACGATCAATGCTTATTTGGAAGAGCAGGATAATATTCCACTTCACATCGCCGTCACAGGAGAGACTGGCTCTGGTAAATCCACCTTCGTTAACGCCTTTAGAGGCATAGACAACATGGATGAGAATGCCGCCCCTACTGGTTGTGTAGAAACCACCATGAAGGTCGAATCATACCCCCATCCACAATTTCCCAATGTTACACTGTGGGATCTTCCTGGAATTGGCACCCCCAATTTTCCAGCTGACAAGTACCTGCAGCTTGTTGGCTTTGAAAGATTTGACTTCTTCATCATCATGTCAGCTGATCGCTTCAGAGGAAATGATGTGAAACTCGCTCTGGAGATTCAGAAGATGGGGAAGAAGTTCTACTTTGTTCGCTCAAAGATTGACAATAACATGCGTGAGGCAAAAAGAAGTCAAAGAGCTTTCAACACTGAAGATACCCTTAAAAAAATCAGAGACGACTGCATTAAAGGTAATTATGTGCTCTCACCTAAAGCTAAAACATAAAAAAGCTTAATAATGTAGTTGTTTACATTTCTAGATACTGTATCTTTAGGAAAAATAGACTGGAAACGGGAGAAAGTGAAAATGTGCCTTAACTGAAGCAAAAACAAGAATATTCAAATGAAAACAACCTTTCTATGGTCACAGACATAAAAGTACATCATTTCCTGTTTGTATCCACACATTCTTGCCCTTCAGATTTGCAGGCGGGACATGCCATTGGTGTGTCTCCCCCTCAACATGCAAACATCCTATTCCCAGAGAATTAAAATAATGTTTATAGAATTATAAGAATGTCATTCCAGATATATGAGAGTACTGCGAGAACAGAGAGTTGTATTTATGTAAAACGTAAAGGCTTACGCAACAAGGGTCACAAGTAGACACTAGTTCAATTTAAGGGGACAACAATAACTTTACACATGTGCAGCATAAATTGAGAAGAAGAGCTATCAATGTTAACAGGTCATAAAATGAGTCATATGAATACTGGCTGAGCTCACTGAGGGTCTGTTGGTGTGATCGATCATCCTCTCAGATCTGAAACAACCTGCCGGTCTTTGTGTCTGACCTGCAGAGGGTTGCTGGGGCTTTCCTTTACTCTGTTCCAATTTCATTGTCTGGAATTAACTTGTGTATTCTCTTTGTGATGCAGGTCTTGAAAATCAAGGTATACAGTCTCCACAAGTCTTCCTGGTCTCCAGTTTTGATCTCCACCTGTATGACTTCCATCTGTTAATGGAGACCCTGGAGAGAGAGCTTCCTGCACACAAGAGAGATGTTCTGCTGTTAGCCATGCCCATTATCAATCTTGAGATCATCAACAAAAAGAAAGAGGCTCTCCAGTCAAAAATAAAGTACCTTGCTGCTGCATCTGCACTCGGAGCTACTGTACCGATTCCTGGGCTCTCTTTAGGTGCTGATCTAACCATGCTGGTTGATAATGCCATAGTGTACAAAAATACTTTTGGTCTTGATCCCAAATCACTGCAGAGTCTTGCTGATAGTGGAGGTGTGCCTTTGCATGATCTCAGAGCAGAGATTAAATCACCTCTGGCTTTAAAAGAAATAAGCAGTGAGGTTATCTTTAACATGCTGAAGGTGTCTGAGTTTCACGTTGCTTCATTAGCAGCAGAGGAAGTGTCCAGATTTATTCCATTTTTTGGATTTGTAGCAGCAGCGGCCATCTCTTATGCCTCCACCTACAGAGCTCTCACTACTATCCTCAACATGCTCGCTGAGGATGCTCAGAGGGTATTCAAAAAGGCCCTGGACTTGGACACCCCAGTGTGATATTGGAAAGGGATTGGCAATGCCTCC